GGCTGAGATCAGCCCCTTTCTCCTTGACCCCCTTCAGTAAGGCTGTTTTGTACCTTTTCTTCCTTCCTTCCTTCCTTCCTTCCTTCCTTCCTTCCTTCCTTCCCTCCTTCCCTCCTTCCCTCCTTCCCTCCTTCCCTCCTTCCCTCCTTCCCTCCTTCCCTCCTTCCCTCCTTTCTTTCTTTCTTTCTTTCTTTCTTTTCTTTCTTTCTTTCTTTCTTTCTTTCTTTCTTTCTTTCTTTTCTTTCTTTTCTTTCTTTCTTCTCTCTTTCTTTTTCTCTTTCTTCTTTCCTTTCTTTTTCTGAGATCAAGCCTCACCCTGTCATCCAGACTGGAGTGCAATGGCGTGATCTCGGCTCACTGCAGCCTGCACCTCCCGGGTTCAAACGTTTCTCCTGCCTCAGCCTCCCAAGTAGCTGGGATTACAGGCGCCCGCCACCATGCCCAGCTAATTTTGTATTTTTAGTAGAGACAGGGTTTCACCATGTTGGTCAGTCTGGTCTCAAACTCCAGAATTCGTGATCCACCCACCTTGGCCTCCCAAAGTGGTGGGATGCCACTGCGCCTGGACCATGTTTTATATATTTCTAATTGCCTTTTGTCGCAGTCTGCATTCTATCTTGTCATCTCCCAACCTTCTAAAAGATTATTTGAAAAGTTGCCTATTTTAAGTTCCCTCTGTCTCCTGTAAAGTGCCGCCCCTAGTCAAGCATGACCCCCTCTCTCAGCCCCCTAGCAACCGTGGATCTGTTTTCTGCCTTTTTTTGTCTGTTTAGCTTTTTCCAGAATGTCAGATAAATGGAGTCATACAGTATGTAGCTCGTGTCAGGCTTTCCACTATGCAGTGTGTATTTAAGAGTGACTTATTTCTTCTCATGGCTTCACAGCTTTTCCCTCTTTATCACTGACTATTCCATGTTTTATTTGTTCACTCACTGAGGAACATCTTAATTGCTTCTGGTTTTTGCCAATTACCAATAAAACTGCTATATACTATCACACTGGTCTTTAAAACAAAGGCTGCTATAAATATGTGCGTGCTGGTTTTTGTGTGGACATAAGTTTTCAAATCATTTGGGTAAATACCAAGGAGTATGATTGTTGAATTGTACGGGTAAGAGTATACTGAGCTTTGGAAGGAACTGCCAACCGCTTTTCAGGGTGCTGAACATGTCGCATTCTGTTGCTCCAGGTGTCCTCGCCAGCATTAGGCATTGTCAGTGTTTTGTATTTTGATTATTCTAGTAGGTATGCAGCGGTATTTCCGTGTGGTTTTAATTTGCAATTCCTAATGATGTCTGATGTTAAACATTTTCTGATTGCTTATTTACCATTTGTATTTCTTCTTTGGAGAGGCATCTGTTCAGATCTTTTGCCCATTTTTAAATTGGGTTGTTTTCTTATTGAGGTTGTTTTTTTTTTTTTCAGGGAGGAGGGGGACATAGTCTTACTCTGTTGCCCAGGCTGGAGTGCAGTGCTACAATCTCAGCTCACTGCAACCTCTGCCTCCTGGGTCCAGCTAATTTTTGTATTTTTTGGTAAAGCCGGGGTTTTGCCATGTTGGCCAGTCTGGTCTCGAACTCCTGACCTCAGGTGATCTGCCCGCCTTGGCCTCCCAAAGTGCAGGGATTACAGGTGGGAGCCGCCATGCCCAGCCTCTTACTGAGTTTTGAGAGTTCTTTTTATATTGTGGATCTCAGTTGTTTATCAGATATGTGTTTTGCAAAGATTCTTTCCCTGGCTTATGGCTTATCTTTTCATCCTCCTAATAGTGTTTGCAGAGCAAACATCTTAAATTTTGTTACGGTACAATTTATCATTTTTTCTTTCATGGATCATGTTTTCCACATTGCATCTAAAAATTTATTGTCAAGCCTGAGGTAACACAGACTTTCTCCTCTGTTTTCTTCTGGATCCATTTTGAGGTGCAACCTTCACTTCTGAGGCTCAAGTAATCCTCCCACCTCAGCCTCTCGAGTAGCTGGGACTACAGGTGTGCACCACCACATCCAGCCAATTTTTGTATTTTTGTAGCGATGGGCTGGCCTCTAACTCCTGAGCTCGAGCGATACTCCCTTCTTGGCCTCCCAAAGGGCTGGGATTACAGGTGTGAGCCACTGCGCCTGGCCTTAAGTTAACTTTTGTGTCGTGTGTCCCCGAATGGATCTGAAAAGCTCTTATCTGTCATGTCTGAGTCCGTTCTTGCATTGCTATAAAGAAATTCCTAGGCTGGGCGCAGTGGTTCATGCCTATAATCCCAGCACTTTGGAAGGCCGAGGCAGGCAGATCACAAGGTTATGACCAGCCTGACCAACATGGTGAAACCCTGTCACTACTAAAAATACAAACATTAGCTGGGCATAGTGGCACGCCTGTAATCCCAGCTACTCAGGAGGCTGAGGCAGAAGAATCACTTGAACCTGGGAGGC